CATTGAATGATAGTATTATCGTCCTCTTGCCGTGGCTTCCAGCTGTAATGATCACTACACTGATATGGGGTTGATGAACCATAGCGTTTTCCTCCTTGTTTCACTGCCAGTTTTGCGCACACGTTTCTGAATTTTTCCCTGAGAGCAATGAGAATGTTCTGAAAATATGTATTACACAAATACATTCCTCCTGAGAGTGTGAAGGTTTAATGATCTACACCATGTAAAGTAAAATCAGCACTGCTTTCATAAATATTTAGTGCTCATTCTTAAAGAAAACCTGGACTCATTTGTATCTTTCAGGGTCACATATAGTGTTTTCATCTTTTTTTTTTGTTTTTCCCTGTTAGAGAAACACCATTTACATCAACTCTGACAATCGCCGTAAAGGTGTTTGACAGAAATATCTTTACAGAGGCTATGTAGCAACTTACAGCAATTTCAAATGACAATCCGATCACTTTCTTTGTGTATATAAATCAACTTAATCTAGTCAATGAGACAGTGTCCTCTAAACAACAACTCAAGATTTAAAATAGCCCTTTAAAAAGAAGACTTTTCTTCTGATTTTATTAAACAATCTAGATCCTTCTTCTATAATAGTAATAATAATAATAATAATAATAATAATAATAATAATAATAATAATAAATCAGGGAACAGAAAAGAATTATAGCACTAAAGAATAACTTAGACTAAAGAAACATGATATAGTGGAACAGAAAATAACTAGAAACAAGAAAACCATCACTAGAACCACTAAGGAAGAAGAAAAGTGGAAAACAGGGCAAACTAAATAAAGAAACCGAAGGAATACCAAAAATAACAAAAATTCAAAACCAAACTCAAACAACCCCAGATCCCAACATTTCTATAAACCAACACTGAACTTTATGTTGATTGACACTGGATTATTTTTTTATTAAAAGTAAATATAAAAGTTTTTGTTTGTTTGTTTTTCATTCAATTTGCAGTGTTTTTTTTGTTGAGTACCTCACTATGACATTTGCTGTGAAATGGTGCTGACTTGACTAAATTAAAATGAAAGAGTTCAATGAAGCTGCAGCTGCTTTTGATACAAAAAGAACGACGCAGCATTCCAGCTTTCCGTTGTTTTGCTGACATCCAAAATTTGAATGTTAGCAAAACAATGTTTTAGGAAATTAGCGTAGTATTTTGAGAACACTTTATTTTGGCTAGAATAAAGGTCCATTTATCACTACATAATAAGATTTAGCAGAACGCATAAAGTGGGCAGGAGAAACAAAAAGTGTTTGGGGATGAAAGGTCAAAGTTGAAGGTTGGCTTACCTCACAACTACAAACTGAACCTAAATTAAGGCCATTTTAGGATCTTAAGCACAGAAATGAAAATCCTGAACTAAAAGCTTGTTTATTTCCTCAGACCGTCTGTGCCACAAGCATTTAAAGATCCTTACAGAGCCTTTTTGCTATTCCAGTTTGTCTGGGTTAAAAGCTCACAGAGGAGCGACTTGGATTGAGAGTGTGATGGAAGAAAGAACAGATGAAGGGGGGGACCGGAGGAAAGACCTTGCTTTAACAAGCTTATCTCGCTCCGTAATTCAGTTTGGGCCATCAAAGTGCTGAGAGCTGGCGTCGCTAGGGGCGGTCGTATTTTTTGACCGCTACCTGTGACAGCAATTACAGGTTTCACTTCAAGCGTGCCTTTGTTTTTGTGGCAGACTTGACTGCTTGGGTTGAACAAGATTACCTCTCTGCTCTGCAACTGGAGCATAATCAAAGCCTCCTGATGCGAGGTGTCATGCCCCTTAGAATCAACCTCACAGCATCTGCTACCATTTCCTCCTTGCCCCTTTATTCCAGGGGTTTGTGTTGACATTATTGTCATCGCAACAGAGCTGTTGCTTTAATATATTCATATACATCACAGGAAATTTTTCCTCTCCCTGCTGCCACAGCTGAAACAGAAATGAGCTTTCCATTTATATGCAAACGGAGGTGAATGCAGAATTTATTTGGTGGGAAAACTCCATGAATAGCGAATTCACATCAAATGAAGCATGTATAGACGCAGTGCAGCATCTGCATAAATGCATGGCTGTAACAGCAGCATTATTAGGTGTGCACACGCAAGCTGCTGTCCTACTTTTCTTAGCTTTGCCTCTCAGAAATGCAGAGTTAGGTGCTAAATCACTCGGGTGCCTTTTAAAGAAACAAAATTTTTTTTTTTTTTTTTCCTTATGCCTTCTTATACACTCAGCAGGAGGTCAGCATTTAAGAGAGCATACACTGTGCCCCAGGAGTGAACCTAAATCTTCAAATAAGTGGGAAAGGTCTCCTGATGCGTTGTTGAAACTTTATGGAAGATGAAAACACTTGATCTTATATTCACATTGCCATTTTGAGTACCACCAATTTTGTGCGGGGTGCTGTTGTGCTCTGCAATATGTCAAGACCTAAAAGAATCCATGAGTTCATCCTGCAGTAGTATTTTTCCCAACAAAAGCCTTTCTTTTTTTGTTGTTGTTTTTGAGCATGACACAGGATTTGTTGCGGCATGACCAGGCCAATTAGTTTGATGTATTGTTGTCCCAGTATTCTATGTAGCATATTCTGCTAAAAATAAATAAATAAATAAATAAATAAAAATAAAACCTTATGTTTGTCTTGCACCTCTTTCTGTGGATCCAAATTTTCCCACTGTCTTTGTGAAGACATATTTTTCATCTTTTGTTGGTGGCAAATTGGTGCTGCTCTGATTTGTCTGATAGGTTAGACAGTTATACAGTGGCATAAACTATCAGCATCACCAAGCGGTGCTATTAAATATTTAAGATCTGTCCTCTGACGTTAATGAAAAAACACAGCCTGTCACCAGAGACAGGATGAAAACGACATCATTACTGCATGGGAAGCCATATTAGATTTTACACATTGAAACGGTTTACGTTTCCCCATACTTATATGACATAATGTACTTTAAAACAAACACTTTGTGTGACGTGCTCCAGAAAGGTGAAGGAATGCAGTAACTTGCAAAATCCCTATACCTCCTGAAATCTTTTTGCAATTTCTGTTGCAGCTACTCAAAAAGAAGTGCTACATTATTCTCGCAATTGTTTTAGAAATAAAAATCTAATAAATGTTCGATAGGTATTTTTGCAATCCTGCATCAATAAGATGTAGAAAAATATTTTATGGCAATTAGAGCTGCAGATCTGTTGAGTGTCGCCTTGCTAGCATGACACATTTTGGGCCAGGAACAAGTCTCTGCGGGGATATTTTGAGTTATTTACTGAATTTGAAAGTATGGATTTTAGGCTTTCTGAACATGTCAGGGAAATAAATTAAATAAATAAAATAAAAGAAGATATGGCCATACTAATGTTGTCTCTGGAAACATTAGTGAGAAAACAGGCCTCAAAGTGTCAGAAGAACTATATCTAGGGTTAATGAGCTCCCTGGGTCGTTCAGAAAATCTTTTCGTTTACATAACTTTGCAAAAACCCCCACCACCCAGCATTTACTGCCTAGAAATGTGTTCGGATAAATGAGCATTTTTCCTACGAGTTTTTGTCAAGCCAAACTAGTAAGAAATATACCGTAATTTCTGAACAGTGAGCCTGTACTTTTTTCACACTCGCGATGGGTCGGTCATGAACATATCGGCTTTAAGAGCTGGCTCTTTCAAGTGAACGACGGGGGTTATCTCCCAACTGAGAGCCTTTTTTCCCCTTTTTTTTATGAAAGCTGCACAAGGATGTGTGGCAGCATGAGGGGTGAGAGAACTGCTGAGCGGGAGGGGAGGGGCGACGGATACAGCAGCACAGCGAGCACTCAGTCAGCAGCACCACACCGAATGAGAGGGGGAGGGCGAAACTTCAGGCAAGTTTAAAGAAGCGAGGACCACCTGAAACGCCACGTTGTACGCGACTCGCACGTTTAATGCAAACTTTCAAAAACCCAACTCAGCCTTTAGACCGAGGCAACATGCTGGGTATTTATGCTTAAAAGAAAACACAGCAAATTAAGAACACATTTTAATGTGAAAGACATTTCCACGGCAGAGTGTAGCCCAGGAAAAGTTACAGTTTCTCATTAAGCATTATAAACAGTATACTCAATATGTGATTTAACCGTTTTGTACATTTCAGATGGGTCTTTCCTTTTAGTTGCATTTTTTAATTTATTGTGTAGAACCCTGTTGTCCAGGTATTCTTTCAGAAGCCGATGCTTATTTTTTGCTGTGCCACATAAATACATATCTTATATTTATTTGTTATTTATATTGACATTTATTTATTTATCTATTGTCTTTTGTGCTAAACAGCTCAAGCTAAATCAGATTTGATGGAGAGTCACTTGCCAAATGTGAACTTAAGGTCTTTCTTACACATTCATGTGGTGTTGCCAATTTTACTTCAGTTTTGTTTCACTTGTGTCATGACAACCACAGTGAAAATGTATAAGTCAAGCAAAACAGTGTGAATATAAATGCAGAATACTTTGCCCTTGCTACTAACAATGGCAGATATTACCATTGTTTGCACTTTACGGTTTAATATATATTTTAGCCTCAGTCAAGTAGTGACGAACTCAAGGTAAAAAACAAAAAAACAAACAAACATAAATAATGAAATTTTAGTCGGCAAAGCACTGTAAGTGTTCAAGGCAACAAATGAGATCCCATTAAGAATTAACCCAAATGGTTGAGTGTGCGTCTGAGAAGTTGCTGCCGCGTGCAGTTTCTGTTTTGCTGAGGCCAGGCTGTGGACTTCGCCTTGTTGTTCAGTATTCTGTGAATAATTGAAACTGACTTGAATTGCACCCAGTGTCTTTTCTCAGTAAATCTGCCGATGACATTGAAGGGAAATAAAAGATGCTGACTGTGTTGTGAGAACTGGGCACGTCAGTTCACTTCTTAGCTTGATGAATTTCTCCAGCAATGAAATCCATCATTCTGTTTTGTTTTGTTTTTTTTCTCCATTTCACTCACGCTGTGGTGTTTGCTTCTCTTAGGTGGACCTGCTTGTGCCAACCAAGGTTACAGGGATCATCACACAAGGAGCAAAAGACTTTGGCCATGTCCAGTTTGTCGGCTCGTACAAACTCGCTTACAGTAACGACGGAGAGCGATGGAGTGTATATCAAGATCAGAAACAAGGAAAAGACAAGGTAAGTTGTTGTTTTGCATCTGCATAATAGCCACAGTGTTTCTTCATGAGCAGATCTTCATTGTCAGCGTGAAATAATAAAAAAAACATAGAAAAGACTAATGGCATAATATGGATCTAGGTACTCTGAGAACAGTAGGTTTGAAATATTTATAACCCAGGCACAGACGAGGGCATCTTCAGTAGATGTCAGAAGCCTAAAAGCAGAGAATGAACAGAAACCGTAGGCAGAAAAAACAACAAACATCAAAAAAAGACAGCCATTAGCTGTGAGGATGTCCATTATAGAAGCTGTCTTCTGCTCTTCACCACTCGTTTGCATCTTCTTATCTTGGGCTTGAACACAACCTGGCTGGTCTGTGCTCTTGCCTCTGATGGGTTTGGGATTAGATAAGACCCCGCTGTCAGCCTGGCTCAGGCGGTACTATGCTGACAGACCTGTTTACGGCCCTTCAGCAGAGTTCACATGTCTCTCACAATCGTCCGTAACCACATAGACAACATGGAACTGCTGCAGCCTGATATCATGAGAGGTGCAGCCACAGGATTGTCTTTCATATATGCTGTTGGCAGGAGATGTTCTAGCTTTTCTTGCTATCTGTGTTATTAAAAGATAAACCTTCTTAATCTTGATGCGATTCTGATGTGTTGCCTGCAGGAATCAAAGCGCAAAAATGCACATACACCTGTATGAAATGCAGACTTCTTTTGGTTGCTTTCATGTAGGTTCTCTCTCAGGCATCCACACTGTGAAACATTAAAATCTCATAGTAATCTTTACGTAGTAAAGTTTGGAAACAACAAAGAAAAAAAATTTAAGAGTAGTGCTACACAATATTTTAAATTACAATCTTCATATCACTTTTTAGGTATTAACCCTACTTATTTTTTTTCTGTTTTGTTTTTTTTTCCCTCAGTTGGGAAATGTAATACTTCAAATTGGATGTGATATGGTATTGGAACGAAATGCCATACAATGTCTAAATGTTACCCCCATAAGCAAATCTCAAATAAGCAGAATTAAACACATAAATAGATTAATAGGACAATTTGATACATCAAGAATGTCTTTTTGCATGACTAACATTTTGATGACACTTTTACACAGAGAATGCAGTAAAATGTGATTGCATAAAGCTTTGTGGTGTTGAACCATCAAATCTTTCAAATATTTTTGATTTTTTTTCTTTCTTTTTTTTGTAGAATTAAGGTACAACAATCCTTTTACCCATTATAAAGGATGGATGTTTTTTTTTATTTATTCATTTATGGTTTGTTTGTTTTTTACCACAAAGTCTGGTTTTGTCATACCAATGTACTTTTTAATGTAAGGTAGCCTTTACTGATCTGTGGATGTAAAAATTCCTTTTTCAAGGTTTCCTAGTTGTTATTTGGGTCAACTTAATAAACAGAGCAGTCCTTAACGGGGCACATTATCCCAGTCGCTTTATGCACTTATCCTATTTGTGTGCACAGTGCTGCTGGGAAGGATTTCTTGGCCTCTCAAGTTCAAATAGGTTGCTTGATGATTTGATGACTCTCGTGAGAATCTATGGCTGCCAGTGCATACTCAGCATGACTTTCACAATTCCGAGTACAGAATCCTTTCTGCGAAAACACTTGGCAGACGAGGCTAAAGTACCGGTGACGTCTCAGAAAGGCAATAATTTCTTTTCCATTTTGATCAAGGCACATTTTAATTTATTTTGCCAATCCCTCTTTGTGAAGATTAATGATCTGCTCTTTCATTATTACACCTCTTCGAGCAGAACCTATGATACTTAATGTATCATAGTTTGAGCGGGGAGGCATGTTTAGCAAGACATCTGAGAGCCAAGTGGCTGTTTAACTCTATGATTCCTGAAGATGTTTTCTTCTGTCAGTCAGCTAAAGCAGCCATTAATGCTGGAGGACACATTTTGCTGTTGGCCTCTCGAGGCTCCTCCTGGCGCTTCACAATGCTTGACTTGGCAGGGATATACTGGGAAGGCACGCGTGCCTGTGTGTGCGGCTGAGTGTCTGGCTCGAACACATTGGTGGAGGCTTGTAAGTATTCTTCTCAGCTTCCCCCTCCGGCTCCTGTGTGGCAGAGGCTGCAGGCAGTTAGATCTAGATTGAGAGAGGAGGCTCTGTTGGAATACAGATGCTGTCAAAGCAAGCCTCAGCAGCACACACACAACATCCCTCTACAAAATCTATAGAGTAGCTTGTTTGCCTTCTCTTTGCACACAAATCCAATAAAGCCACACCGGTAGCCGAGACAAGTTACAGCACTGCCCACAATTTAAACATTACAAAATTCCTCTTTTTCTTCAGCACACAAACTTCCCAAGCCTTCATCGCTGTGTTGACTAAACCTGCAGTATTGCTTTTTCATGACTGTCGGTATTTACACAGCCTGATAACAGGGAGCCAACCAGGCACAAAAGTAATTGATTTGTGTTTAATAGTGTTTTACAAGTGGCATGAGGTTAATTATCCATTAGAACCCTCAGTTTCCTTCAGGTTAGAGGCTAATTATGAATATAATCATTGAAAAATTTCTCTCCAATGGTCGCTTTTGGGTTTTGATGACCCCAGGCCTAAGTATATGTCAAATTAGAACACTTACCAGACACTCGAAGGAGTGTTTGCAGAGAGAAACACTGTAAGACTCTTAAGATGGCAGACCAATGTTGATAAAGTTGAGTTTGTCTGTTTCAATGTAGTCATGTCAGAGAGAAACAGAGCAGAGGGGGGAAAATATTGGAGGAATCTGATCCCTTAACCTCACCAGCGGGTTTAAATAATGAAGAGTGGGTACTACAGTTGTTGTCCCAGAAGTGCAGAAGGCCTGTCCTTGAATCTGTGATTTTGACTCCGACAGCCAGGAAAATCAATAACTGGGAGCTGTGTTATTCCTGGTTTAGTTTGGGGACACACAATGCATGGAACCCCCTTTTTAATTCACAAAAATACGGTTATCATGGTCTAATGTCAGTGCCACTTTTGTGATGGTTCAGTTACAATTTATGTAGACGTGCTCATACTGCTAAGCATAGCATCTTATGCTTCAAGAAAAACTGTGGTATAGTCTGGGAGTTCAGTCAAAACTTAGGTACTCAGCAATATGTATAGGAGTCAAAATATATATAGTTTGTGGTGCAATAAAACCAAAGGTCAAATGTCTTAAGCCAGTGGTTCCCAAACTTTTTCTTCTGCGCCCCCCCAGTGGTTTCCAAACATTTTCTGTGCCCCCCCCTATGGATTACAAATGGCTGTCTGGTTGAAACGACGAGGGGGGAGCATCGACTTTTTTGGGGGCAAAATGAATGTACGTAGCTGAAAATAGACACCAACATCGGTAGCCAACATTAGCAAGCCATCTTTTAGCTAACATTACCTGCATCCAACAGCTTTACTCAACTCAGTCGGTTAGTTTGGAGGGAAAAACTGTAAAAAGTTCTTTGTGTTTTGCTGGTTTGCTGCCGTGATTCTAACACAAACCTACGTAGCTCCGCACAGCAGCAGCAGGTCTCCTTCACAGGTGGAAACCCAGCGTGAGTAGCGCTCATGTTGCGTTTAAAGGCGGCTCGGAAAAACAGGTTACACCATGTTCACAACGTCTTAAACAGTTTTAACTGCTGATAAAAGTGACAGAGGACACAAATATGGGAGGTGTGGAAGTCTCTACTGTATCAAATTGACATAGGAATAACAGAAAGTTGGCCATTCTAAGGTAAAAGCCCAGCGCATACAGTGTTCATGTTTTGTTTTGTTTTTCATCCAGACGGCTTCCCGCGCCCCCCCTACAATGACACGGCGCCCCCCCCCCCCCCCCCCCCCTCTCCCACCCCCCCCCTTTGTTTTTTATAGGGGGCATTTTTTATTT